AAGAGAGAGAGAGAGAGAGAGAGAGAGAGAGAGAGAGAGAGAGAGAGAGAGAGATACCTGGGATCGTGACAACAGATCTGTATACCACAGACAGAATATGTATTGTAGATTGTGTTACGTTTTACGCCCTCAGCGACACAATTTATGTATTTTGGAGGCAGGATACTTTGACCCTACATGCCAGGTCCAACCCATGCGGAGAGGGGTATAACATCCCAGGAGACATACAGAATTGCTCAATTAGCTGACAAAAGCTTATTCTTATACCCAGTGAACACTACCAATCGAAGTCAGCAAACTGAGTCGGGGTCAGCCAGAATTTCTTCCATGGAAGGGAAAAATCTGTCATTTGGTACAGTTTGATCAAATTCACCCAAATATATAAACATGTTTGTTTTGGGAGGATTTAATCAAATTGTGCCAAAATGGCAGGTTTTGCCCCTCAGTGAAGGAACATGTAGCCGGCCTCAACTGAATCAAAGGATTCAAGTTGGCAGAGTGTACTGGGTATAACGGGACTCGCGCACATTTAAAGCAAATGTGAATTTTGTTCTGTTTTTTTTTTAACCTGTTCTTAAAATTATTATTTTTCGTCAATTTTCAGTTTTGTTATGGTATTTAAAGACCTGGGTTCTGAATGAACGCCCGTCTCCGATTATTCAGACCAGTGAGTGCTTAGAGTGCTTGTCGACCTTTTTTGAAAATAGATCTAGTCAGCAAACACTTTTGTCAGAATTAAGAGGCTGGCTCTTATATATACTAATATATACCGCCCTCTTACACGAACACGTATTTCTAAGCCGGGTAGTAAATATCAGCAGTCATTACCAGGGTCATCCCCACCGCCCACCGACATGACTAAATCGCGCAGCAGCGGGCGATACCGTACGAGTTGGCAAGCACTAGTCTGGATTGAGTGGATGGTGACTTAGAACATTAAAACATCGATCTCAAAAACATTATGTGGCCTCACATCGACTCGCGTACTCGAGCAACACCATACTCGCCTTAATTGTGTAGATGGTGACGTAAAACGCTAACTGTCAAGTGTGAAAGCTGGGCGTTAAGCAGCTTGCGTACATACATTGGCATCAACGGTAAATCCTTAATTGAGTCGGCTTTGACGTAAATCATAATTAGGCTCCCACCGTTTGTATCTATGATTTGATAATAATAATTATGCTCATGTCCGCATTTAGATCGACAACGCCAGCTTTTTTGGTCAAGTAGGGGTCACGTGAGTTCTGTAAATAGACATTGCGCAGATCGACACTAGTGGGCCAACGAGAGAAGAAAGTAAATTGTAATCGATAATCTAGATGGATTAGCAGTAAATAGAATAAAGATGATGTGTCTAGCAAGTATGCTCAGATCGCTCAGAATAGAATGATTACGGTAAGACTGCGCGTAAACTCCCAGAGATGGAGGCTACAGTGTCCGTAGAAATTTGCTGTTTGCTGTTTGCTATTTGCTGTGCCATAAACTAGTGAGGGACACCCCTTTCGGGAGGTAGAGGGGGGAGGGGGCATTCCAGTGTTTCAACCTCTCGGATTCGAACTGCTAACTCGTGTCTGTTAGCCAAGTTCGTTATCATTGAAGGACAAATGCCCAACGTTTTTGTTTTTTAACAAACTCAAATGTTATGTTTCTTATAGTCTCTGCAATAAAACATCTATCATTTTCTTTTCTTTTTTCATCGTTTCTAAAATTCAGATCTGAAGCAAACATCAGCAGCGCTCGTCGCCCGTCTGTTCAGGTCCTCTAAGTTGTTCTTGATCTACCTCTGCCTCTTTTGCCTGCTATTTTTCCAGTGAGTGCAAGATATCCAGGGCCTTTACGTCGATTCAAGTGTGCAAGGAAATTCATTTTTGTCTCTTTCTTATATTCCAATTTGTGACTGTCTACGCTGTCTTATTTCAGCAATAAACCATCTATGATATCTACTGTCTATGATAGTTAATGCATTTTAATTATATACCATTTATTAGATTATTATTCT